TGAAGAACAAAAATATTTTCAATGTACTAGAATGAATTTTGTAAACAAGTCCATTATAACACCACAGGGAGCAAATTTTGGTATAATGTTCCTAGCTTAAAAAAGTAGATTTACCTAATGTTCTACTCATAAAAATGGGGACTTTTTTGTACTTTTAAAAAATTTTATTAGTCTTTTAAAACATTCTTAAAATCTGCGAGGTGATGTTTTAAATTATTTCAAAGTAGCATGATTTTTATAAGTTTTCTATTTGCATTTTCTGTATCTTTGATACTTTTCCCCTTTTATTTTTTTTTAACAATACATAAAATTTAAGACACAGTTTTATAAATCCCTGAGAAAAAGCAATCTGGTTGCCAAGGCAAAGTTCATCTTTTCCTTCATACAAGATAATATACTCTCAGGTGTTTTTTTAATTGCACATGTTCAGCAAGTAGAGAAATGACTCATGCTTAATTGGCATTAAATCTAGAATTCAGAATTTCATTAACTTAATTCTCTATCAATGGGAGGATAGACTTTCACAGTTTTGCCTCTGTCTTTCTACTCTGAGCATGGAGAGAAGCACACAGTACAATTTGAGAAGATGAACATTGAAGTAAATATTCATCTCTATTTGATACTGAAAATTATATAAGCAATAGAAATACTGAGGGGCTTATTTGATAATATGGCCTTTGTACTTGTTAGTGTAAATTTGTGTTCCTGAAATGTTCTCATTTCTTTTTCTGTTAGTTTGCCCAGTAAAATTATACTTCCTAAAATCCTTATAAATTCCCTATGTCCTCAAAATGTTGTAGCTAAAATTATTGCCTTCAGTTCTTGTAAAGCAAAGCATTCCAGTGAGAAAGATACGATTTTTGAAAAAAAGACTTAACCAGCAGGAATGCTTTGGCCACACATGTTAAAACACTAAAGTATTTGACCAGGATATAGGTGTCTCACAATACCTTATAGTAGTTTCAAATGGGTCCATTTTTAATGGAAAGGTGAGATATGATTTTTTATGGAAAAGGTGACTGACTTTTTATGGAGAAGTGGGATAGACAAAAGGGATATGATTTCTGTAAGACTACAAATGGCTCAAGAAATTTTTCTTAAAGAAAGAAGGTAAAAGTCAGGGAGTTTGGAAGAGGCAATTCATGTAACTTTGTCACATTGGAGTTATAAGAAGTTCTGTGCTGTCTAGGGAGGTCCTGTGATTTCAGAGTCAAAGGAAAATTGAAATGTGTTTAGAACAAATACCCTTTTTTCCTGCATGGAGATTATTTTTCTTCACTTGCCTTGTATGTTGTTCAACTTAATCTCTCATATGGGTACAAAAAAGCAGCATAAGAATTTGTTAGTGTTTTCATTGTCTCTTTCAGACATTAAATTCCCACCAGCAAATAAAAAGAATTCTGTTGCATGTACATTTTTTTGACAGCATTCTTAAGTGTGTGATGAATGTTGCATATGTGACTGTATTAAACAAGGCAGGATTAATGTACTGATCAATAAGATGACTCAAAAAATATCTTTTCACATAGCCGTGTGTGTACTCAGGTATGTCTGTATTTATATTTCAATATAAATTACTATCAAAATTTTGTAGTTTCAGTGCCAAGAATGCAAGATTTTTGGCTATATTATTGTTATTATGTTATCTTACAAGCATTGCAGGATCTTTCAGTAATCTGCAGCACTCAAGCATTAAGAAAAAAAAATAGATCTCTACTATATAACAGAGACTAGAAGAAGGCTTAATATGCCTTGCTGTCACTATTCAAAGCAATTCTATTTCCTTTTCTGCTATTCCAGAGAGAGAAATTTTTCCCTTTTAAGTACAGCAAGATTTAAGGCACTTTTATCTGCATGGTGTGCAGTGTCACACATGCACACTCATGTGAAAATGTCACTTTCTGTATTAATTGCTTGTGTAGGAATACTGGATCTTTTTTCTCCTATCAGTGTTTTCCCTTTCCTATTGCACCACCAGCTATTTCTTGAATTTTCTTTAATAATAATCTGATCTCTTTTGTGTCCCAAATCATCTTAAATATTTTGTTCTTATATCTTCTTATTTAGCAAGACTACTAGATCTGTACCCTGTCAACACTATTAGATCTGTACCCTGTCTTTAGCAAGACTAGTAGATTTGTACCCTCGACTTCGGGGCCTTCTGTGTCTTCAAAATTCAATAATGACTTATGGATTTGGTATTGTTCCCTCAGGTTTTGCATTCTAGAGTCTGCTCTCTCCTCTGCCTACTAATGCTTTCTTTCCTCTCTTTTGGGGGATTTCCTGGAGATTACAAGAGCCCTCTCACACATTAGTTGATTTACCGTGCATGGATCAAGGAAAATCAACAGATATTTCAGTAACATCTTTAATGGAACAGGAATATTTGTGGTATTCAGCCCTTCTCTTTCCCCTAAGCCAAAAAGTAGTGAAATATATGGATTCTTACAAAGCCCTGAAAATGCATGACAAAACTTAAAATTATAAGGGATTAGGAACCAAATGGCGAGGCAAATGCACCTGTGTCTAAAAAAAGATCAAAAGGTCAACCTGGAGTATACAGAGAATTCTGGCAGTCAACCAAGGGTCAGCCTGGAGGATTTCTGGCAGTCTTACTTCAGCCCATAGGAGGAACTGTGGAGTAAATACAATATTTGGGAAAAGCAGCATGGATTTACCAAAGGTAAATCATGCCTGAGCAGTATGATCACCATCCACAATATGTTATGAGAAGAGCTTTATCAAGGCTTTTCACATTTTCTCCCATGACATCCTCAAATTGAAGTTGGGACATTATTATTTATGCAGGTGGGTGTCTAGATGATGTAAAGATGGTCAGATAGTCATTCCCAGAAAGTTGTGGTTAATGGGTTGGTTTTTATGTAGTTATGTTGGTTATTAATGTGATTATGATAGTTATTAAAGTGGTCAGTGTGTTTACCTGCTTGGAGGACCGTAGCAAGTGTGGAACTGCTGTGGTCTGTATTGGGACCTCTCTTGATATTGTTATCAGGGACCTGGAGTAAATAAGGGAGCTGCACCAATGTGCAGAGAGCAAATTGGGAAGCATCAGTTCATAGGCTTTTGGGAGTCAAGCTACCTTTTCAGCAGCCTGAACAAGCTGGACTAATGGGCTGACGTGGACTTTGTTAAATTCAAAAAGTGCAAAATCTAGGTACCAGCAGGGGATAGAAGAGCCTCTGCGATGGCACAGGTTTGGCATTGGCAAGATGGGAGCAGGCCTGCAGGAGGGCTCTGGATCTTGGTGCCTCAGCCTGCAAAGCTCCATGGGTTGTATGGACAGAACCATGGCCAGTCAGTACTGAGAATGATTATTCTCCTCAGTTTAGCACACATTTGACCATTTTTATAATACCACATCCATTTTTGGCCCACCTGTTGCAACAAAGATATTGACGAGCTGGAGTTAGTTTTGCTGAAGGCTGTCAAGACAGACTCTAGAGCAGTCTTCAGTTCTGGTCCCAAGTTCATCAGCACATAACACATTCTTCTTCACACTTTGTCTCAGTTTCTTTTGTTGGCTTGATGCCTTTCACTGCTTGTCTGCTATCAATATTTTATTGAAATATCTTTGCCCCAACGTGTTCCATTTTTCTACTGCACCATATAAAATCTCTTCTGCTTTAAAATTATTTTCAGTATGTGAAAAGGAGTGCTGGAACTGTACACCAGGAGCATAACAATTACAAAGCAAAACAAACAAAAAAACTCCACCTACATTCAGTCCATTTTTTCTGTAGTCATAGATGTCCAAAGTTATATGGTTGACATTTTTCTCAAAATTAATTCTGCCTGAGGCAAATGTCCTGCCTGAGAAAAACTAACTCTAAACAGATAAAGTTTGCCCAGAGTTCCAAGAAACTGAGAAAAATATTTCAAAATATGAAGTGTTAATCAGTTTAATATAGGCTGGGCCATTAGGTCTGGTTGGAATAACATATTTTTCTTCCATTTTTGTTAATTGTTATTATATACATGCATCCAATGAAAATGGAAATAGATTGAAGTTTTTATATTGTAAATTTGCTGCAAGAGTATTTTATTGTTGATAAGCTTTTCAAATATTTAGAAAACAAAATGAAAGTTTGAGTTCTTCTGAGGATGACAGATATGTTTTAATGACACATGAGGATCTAGCCTTACAAATGTAGTGATACTATTTGACATACTAGTTGAGTTACCTTCCTTAACTAATGAAACACTGTTCTTCCAACATTAGGTTTTCTATTTGATGCAGATTCTGAAACTGATCCAAGCTGTATGAGTGTAGAAATTGAAAAATAGATTGTATAAAATCCCAAGGCTGAGTTGATGTCATTGTAAACTATTTCCATGTAGGACTTATTAATGAAACAAAGTTTTGTGGAAATAGAGAGATGGAGTTATTAGAGTTAAGTTTTGCAACTTAAGACTCTACCTATTTATGTGGGTTTTTTAACCAATTACCAAGCTTATAAACATAAATAACCCTAGTGGTTTAGGAATGGTACTCCCCAGTTTAGTTCTCCCAATGAGACTCAAAGCCTCACTGCTGCTCACTCGCTCCCCCCTTCCCCTCCCCTTCCCACTCCTTTGGAATGGAGTTGAGAGTTGGAGGCACAAAAGCTAAAAATTATGGGTTGAGATAAGAATGATTTACTAGAAACAGCAATGAGACAGAAAAATGAATGGTACTAGCAGCACAAAGAAACAATTTACATGGAAAAGCCTGTGACAATCTGGCTCTTCCCCACCATGCTTTCTCCCCAGTGTAAGAAGAGAGGGTTCCTTACTCCTGCCCTTGGCAATGAGTGAGGTGGAGTGGAATAACATCTGGGCCTTGCCACACAGCTCTCCTGCTTACTGTGAAAAATTAACCCTGTCCTGGCTGAAACTAGAACATGGGAAAACCAGTTTGCAGTACAAACTGTGCAGTTAAGGTTAATATTTTTATTTGTACTATTTATACACTAGTCTAAAATACTTTTCTTCATTTTAAGGTAACTGAGCTGCACAATATCAAAAATATAACCAGATTGCCTCGAGAGACAAAGAAGCATGCAGTGGCAATTATCTTTCATGATGAGACATCAAAGACATTTGCGTGTGAGTCAGGTAAGTAATTGGTGCTTCATCTCTAGCTTGAAGAAATCAAGTTGCACATCAAAGTCTGGCTCAGATGAATTAACTCACAATGCCAAATAGAAATTCTTAGCTTAAAGAAATTTGTGATAAACAAAAAACTTAGACGTTTGGGGTTCAGGTCTTTTGGGGTTTGGTAGGGTTTTTTTAATACATGATGAGGGGTGTTAGGGGTGTTACAGAGCTCTTTTTTCCATTATTTTTCTTTGCATGCAGATGGTCTAAAGACTGGAGGTTTCCAGCTAAACTTGTAAATCCTAGTAAAAAATAACCTGTAAGATGTTATTAAGTCAAGATGTGAAACATTCTTTTTTTAACAAGCTTTGCTATAGGCACTTACTAAACTAATAATTATCATGCCATTGCAAATAAGTGGCAAATACCAGCTAAAACCTCAGGATATTTTAAAGCAGGGTGTCAAGCAGGCTGTGGTTTGAATGACTCCATAGCATAATGACTAGACTGGCATAGAACAAGACATTAGAATACACAATGGCAAGCAGTTACTTGTGAGACACTGAGCACTGCACAATTACAGTGCACTATTTTATTTGAAAGTACAATTGTACACATCTCTGTCGTGGGGTATATTTTAACAGAAAAAAAGATTTTTTGAAATAATGGGAAATTCTTTAATGATAGAGTTTGTGCTTTTTTAGTGATGTATTTGAAACTTTGCATTTTAAAAGTGTATATAGGTAATGTTATATATATGTTGTTTTGGTTTTTTAAATATATATGTAATATTATGTATATATGGTGAAGGGCCTAGAAGAAAAGCCATATGAGTGATTGAAGTTACTTGGTCTGCAGAAGAGGAAACTGAGGAGAGACTTCATTGGAGTCTGCAACTTCCTTTTGAGGGGAAGAGGAGAGGCAGACACTGATCTCTTCTCTGTGGTGATCAGGGACAGGACCCCAGGGAATGGCCTGAAGTTGTGTTAGGGGAGCTTTAGGTTGGAATTAGGAAAAGATTTCTCATCCTGAGGGTAGTTTAGCTCTCAAAAAGGCTCTACAGGGAAGTAATGACAGCACCAGCCTGACAGAGTTCAAGAAGCGTTTTGAAAATACTTTTGGGCACATGGTGTGACTTTTGGCACTGTCCTGCACAGGGCTAGGAGTTGAACTCTATGATCCTTGTGGATCCCTTCCAACTCTGGATTTTCTATGATTCTATATCAACATTATCATATAAATGTTGTACCATGTACAGTCTAAATAATAAATTAAATACAGTGAAACAAAATCAGAGAAATGTGGAGAAAGTTAAAAGTGTGCAAGGTCATGCATTTTTTTATTTATTATGTAACTTTTAGATCAGATATTGCAAACAGTTATATGCATATTCCATCATGAAAGATCGATTGACTTTTTGTTGTTAATTAATTTAAGTTTAAAGACACACAGAAAATTCTGTTTCTGTCTACAATTGCTTTAAGAGATCATTAGATTAGTCCACATTTTGAATTCTAATGTGTAGAATTGATAGTGTCTCTATATTATGATTAATAATTGAATAAAAACATTTTAATTACAGCCAACAACACTGAAGTCAGTCCTGTGGAAACTTTTCCATTTACCTATGCATGCATTCCCCTTCTTTCCTAAAAAGATTTGTTCCTTTCCTAGAATTACTGTGGTTCAGGTGTATTTGAAAAGAGTGACATCAAGTCATGACTTCAAAACTCTTTCAGCAAAGAAGGGACAAACCTAAGGAAGTTCAGCGTGTCTGGCCCACTCATCCCTTTCTTCTTAACCTTCAACCCAGCTGTAAATACAAGGCACATGTAGTACCGTAAGGTGCTAGCAGGGTGTCAGTATGAGATGCTCTCCCTTTATGCTCTGTACAAAAGTGTGTTTTGAGTGGACAGAACCCTGGGTGAAGTGGCAAACAAGTGGAGAGCCTGTGGGCAGAGAACAAAGTTCAGACCAAGATAGCTGATGCAGTAGGTGTCTGCTCTAGATCCTCTCAACAAGAGAAGGCAGATGAAGCAATCTCAGGGCAGGTGGAAAAAGCCTTAGAGTCCTAGGCACTGGTATTCTTGGGTGACTAACCTCAGCAGTAATTATTGGAAGGCCAATAAGGCTGAACACAAGCAATCCAGATTTCTGAAACAGATTGAAGACAATTTCTTGATACAGAAGATCAATAGTGTGATGAGGGGAGATGTTTGTTCAGGGACGTGCTTGGCAGGATCCTGTGGATCCTTGAAGGGCAAAGGAGCCCAGGAGGGCTATCCAATCTGCAAGGACATCATCCTCTGAGCACAAGAACTCTGTTCTCCCCATTCTCAGATGACAAGCTTTGCAGAAGATGAGTGTGAATGGATGTGGAGCTCCTGACTCGCTCAAGTACACAAAAACAGACCTACCATGAAGCAGAGACTGACTACTTAGGAGGGATACAGAGGCATTGTCTATTTACATAGGAAAGGAGTTCAGCAAGCTCCAGCTTAAGGAAGTGCAAGACAGAAAAGATTTCTTAAAGTACATCAGGAGTAAAATAAAGACTAAGTAAGCGTGGCCCTATTGCTTGCTAGAACGGTCAACATAGTGACAAGGGTCATGACAAAGGCTAAGGTACCTTTTATACTGTGGTTTTCACTTGCAAGGCTTGTCCTCAGGCCTTCCAGGTCCCTGAGCCCCTGAACACGATGAAGTATCCGTGGCAGAGGAAGGCATAGTGAGGCATCACTTAAATCACTTGGATTTCATGCAAAAGTTAGTGGAACTTGATTGTCAAGAATGGGTCCATTCAGTATGTACTCCAGTCAGCCTCACCTCAGTCCCTGAGAACACTGTTGGAGCAAATCACATGTAAACACATGAAGGACAGCAAGATGAATGGGAGAAAAAAAAAAAACCTCCCATATGCAAATCATGTTTGCCATGATGAGGTGTCTGGCAAAAGAAAGGCAGTTGTTCTTATATACCTTAATTGTAATGGTCTTTGACACCCTCTGTAGCTTCCTGCATAGCCCCCAAAATTGGTGGGGCATGAGATGGATAAAGACAATAAAAAGTGGAAGAAAATAGGCTGGACTTTAAAAAGCAAGGTTGTGAAGCCAAGCTTGCAGCAAGGAGGGAGTGGATTCCTCAGAGTCAGTGCTGGGACCAATACCATTCAGTGTCTTCATTGATAATCTGCATGATGAGGTGGAGGGTACTCCCAGCTGGTTTGCAGGTGGTGCCAGGCAGGGGTGACCCAAATTGGGAAGGTAGAGGTGCTGTCAGAGGGACCTTGACAGGCTGGAGAAATGGCTTACATAAACATTATGAAAGCTTACATAAATCTTTTAAAGTTCAGCAAGAACAAAAATTCTTTGCCCTGGTTTGTGGCAATCCCAGCCACAAGGTTTGGTGCCAGCTGTTGGGAAGCAGCTCTACAGAAAAGGCTCTGAGGTTGTGGTGCACAACATGCCCTGGACAGCATTAGTAAGGGTCTTCAGAGCAGGTACTGGAAAGTCATCCTTCCCTTTTATTCAGCACTTGTAGGACCACATCTAGACTGCCATGTCCAGTTTTGTGCACTCAGCACAATATTGACATACAGGAGTGAACCCAGGGAAGGGCACCAAGAGTCAGGGGCACATGACAAATAAAGAGAGACTGAGGGCTTATTCAACCTGGAGAAAAAATATTCCAGAGGATCTTATTGCTTATGTGATCTGAGAATACAGAGAAGATTGAGCTATAAAAGCATCAAATACCTGGCTGTTTCTGAATTACTACAAATCTTAACTGTGAGCATAGTGGAGTTGCAATCAGTTTGCCTTTCTCCATGCCTTCAGTATGTCTAAGCAGTATAGACTGCATCACATTTATCAGATGAGAAAGATACACAGTTTTGTTTCACTAAAATCTGACTCTCTTTAATGCCAAATCTTTTGTTTTCTTCTAGGAAGATAGGGTCCAAAAAGAAATTTAGTTCCCAAGTAATTTCCACAGTGAGTTCTGTCTTCTCACAAGGAATTGTTACCATTTTTACTGCTGTTGAAATGTGCCAAGTACTTGGCTTTCCTCTATGAAACTTAACAAAATTTAAGGAATGTTTGAAGAACTTGCTTCTTATTTAAAATGGGTTCATTTTCTTCTCTTGTTTAGTGACACTGGTTTATAGTGCAAGACTATAGACTTTTTACAGCCTCACAGTGTATAGTGATGTACACACACTGTATTTATTGTTTATTTTGGCAAATCATTTTGCCACTTCTTTGGTTAACACAAAAACTTTACTAATCCCTCTTCTTTTCGATGGCTTCAGTGTCAAGAAAACACTCAAGTGGTTTTGACAAAAGGCAAAAATCTTCTAAAATCATAACTGCTTGACCTTGAGTTTTTAAGACCCCAGAGTTTCATAATATGGACATTTTTCTACCATGAAGCCTCTGAATATACAGAAGCAGATACCTTGTTTCTTATCATCTTGACTTCCAGAGGCAGATGGAAGGAGAGTAACATTAAACCCCTTGCAAAAGGTCTGCTGAGCATAGAGTCAACAATTTTTTGGAGACCAGGAGAAAGGAATACTCAAAGCTGAGTTGATTTTAGGGACTGAACAATGTGAGGTAGGGGTTTTGTCAGTGTTGTACCAGAAAATGATTTTAAGTAATGGTATCATTTTGGTTTTGATAGCCTGAGCTGATGCCTTCTCCTCTGTGCCATCTTAAAGTGCCAAAAAGCAGCACATTTTTCTGGCACATAGCTTTCTTAATTGTGGAATTAAGCACAATAAAATACTGTTCTCTTTTAAAATAGGTCTCTAAAGATACAGCACACTTTGGTTCTCCCCAGAAAGCCTGAGAGCTGTGATACCAGCTCACTGGGTGTGCTGGCTCAGAGCCTGTGTTTTTTCCTAAGCTCCTGCAGCTTTTAGACCCTCATTTTGCTTATTGTCTTCAAGGCAACTGCTGGCAAATCTGAGCTCTGGGTGGGCTGTAACCCCTATATTTCCATTAGAATTTCAGCAAATT